TTTCAAACAACATGGTAACAGAGCACCAATCAAATGATAAATCAAGCATGTGTGAAAAGAGAACAGATGGAGGAAATCAAGAGAGATGAGTGCTGACTCAGACACACTTATATGAGGTAGAGGAAATTTGGGAAATAAAATTACAGCAGGTTAGGCAACTTCTTCTCTGTTTTGCAAGTGTTAGTGAAAGGGGCAGTTAGGAAGAATATGCCTCCAATTACAAACTTGAGGCTTTGAAGAATACGATATCTGATATTCAGCTCCACAAATGTGGTGATAAATATGAGTGACATTCATCCCCTCTCCAGTAACATAAATAACACTCACAAACACGGGACTAGATTTTTTTCTTTGAAAAATATACGTTTTGAGATTTATATGAATTTGTTAACTCCTTGTAGCTAGACATGGAGGGCACCAGGCTTTCCCTGACAATGTGCTAGAAATGAGAAACCTATGTCTGCCAAACCTGTTGGAATTTGATGCCTTGTTGTAGATCTCCCTGCTAGATCATTTGACATGTCACTCATGGGTTTTTAATCTTATAATGAGATTCAAGTAAAGGTCAATCTGAAAGAGAAATTCTTGAAAGAGCAGCAGGAGGCCATAGAGTGATGTGGAAAGGGGAAAAGAAAGCAATCCTATTCCTTTCTCTAAAAAGGATTTTGTGCATCAGAACTTCAGGCCAATTTGCACACTAGCTGGGGCAGTTCCCCAACTCCCCAGGGGCAGCTACACTCTATTATGTTTTCATGCAGTGGAATGTCTGCTCACAGTCGCTCCTATGTGAAAGGCTGGGGTTGGCTAGTCCTCGCGGTTTCTATGTTCCCACTGCCTGTGTTAGAGCAGATTGATGCCTGTAGAAAGGAGCCATCAATCTAAGACAGAGCAATCTAACAAAATCATCTTGGCAAGTCATTTCTAATGATCCAAATGTTCTAGGTAAGTGATTGTTTTTCTAGGAATATTCTGAATGCCAGCCCAGTTGATGTTCTTAGGCTGCCTAAATATCCTCATACACACTTTGAGAACCATTGCAGTAAACTGATCTAAACAATTTAAATGAACAAATATTAAGTTCCTTTGGTAGACACCAATAGCCTTCTCCTTCAATAGCTGCTCTGACACCATCTTCCCAAATAAATAAAGCAAATATTCTGAGTAATTGAAAATGAAGTTATCCTGCAAATATAGATGTTTATTGGCACATGGACATTCATCGTCCATACTTCTACCAATCCTTGACTTCGTGTAATTTTAGAATACTTACAAATACAATATTATAACAGAAAGGAATCAGCTAGATTTCTAGTTAGCCCTGAGTCTAGTGTCTTGACCATATGGTGAATCCTGTTAGAGCTTCGAGTGTTACAAACAGCCCACCGTGGCACCCACTGTAGATCCGCTGCCACTATCTAGCCAGAGGCCATTACATAAGCAAATCTAGAGGGCCACTCTCTTAGGTTAACTGACAAAGCTGACGAGATTCTTAAACTATACTTTGGCAAGTGAGTACATGACTTGGAAGCATTTTAGACTCTATTTTAAAAGTTACTAATCATAATTTCAATAAAGAAAATCTATTTTTAACAATATTTTGCCAGCCTACAAAGACTATTATGTGGACTGGCCAATAAATCCCTAAAGCACTTGTAGTAAACACTTGTGTGTATTCTTTTCATTGTGCCTTGAATCCTTCTCATTGCAATTATTTAACTCTGTTTCAGTAGGCGCCTGGCACCAATAATATTGAAGGTAACGCATGGCTCATAAAACGAAAGCTGATGGGTCTCGTTTTCTTTGAGGAAAGAGAGCTTGAGATTTACTGTTCAGATGAGGGGTTTCATTAGATCCCATGAAAAATCGACACCTTTCATATTATTCCTAGTAAATAAGGAAGTTTAGGAATATTAATATTACTGAACAACATATACGTGATGAATACATCTTTCCCTGATATAGGGAATACTCTATTTGAGTAGAAAAATTTCAATACTTCTCTTTCCAGCCTAAAATTCTATTTGCAGAGGGAAGGCTATAAAATATTGATTAGCTGTACTAATTTCTATAATCTGTTATCAAATCAGTCTCTGAAAAGCAGATCTGTTTTTTATGCTTTATTTTAAAGAAAGAAATCATATACATTCTATTAGTAATTTGGACAAAAAACACACCACATTTATGCTTTTTTCTGGCCTCTATAAAAATTTAAATCAATTTTCTGTATAATCTACATCTGCAGGGATAGACTGAAGTTTAAAAAACACTCAAAGAAAGACTTAATTGGGTTCATTACAGTAAACTTACATAAAACAGAATGTGTTTCAATCTATTTTGAAAGGATGTTCAACATTAAAGGTTAAAACAAAAAGAAGCCTTTAGTTAACCTTCAATTAACCATAGCTGCCTCACACTTTCTATTAATCAAGTTTTACTCCTTCTTGCATTATTTTTATGACATTCAATTTTATTTGGTTTCTTCAATGTATTTCTCAGAGGTGAAATAGCTCTATTTTATGGATGAAAAGTGAATCAAAACAGGAAAGGCTTACTGTGTGACCTTCATAAAGTCATCTCCCTGAGGTTCTTTTCTTATTTTTAAAGTGACAGTAATGAGGTCTACCTCACTGTGCTATGTAAGAGTGGAAAAGCATCATGCAGAGAAGGAGGATGTTTTTTGAAAAGACTAAACACTCTTGGATTCAGAAAGACATTATCTCTGCAAAGTATGAGTTATGTGACATGGGGAAAAGAATTGACATCTCTGAGACTCAGTTTCCTTACCCATAAAATAAAGATGTAAAGCCTCTTTTGGACATTTGGATAGAGGATCAAGTAATTTCTGTAAAAGTCTTGGTATATAAAAAGTGAAAGAAGGTGGTGTTTTCTTGTACTTGGGAAGAGACCCTGAAAATGACTACATAGAAGTAAGTGAAGCAGTCTTAGACATTGTATGTTTTTTTTGAGTCAGGGTCTCACTATGTAGTTGAGACTGACCTGGAACTCACTATGTAGCCCAGGCTGGTCTCGAGCTCAGTGATCCTTCTCCTGCCTCAGTCTCCCAAGTGCTGGGATTACAGGCTTGTGCCACCACACCCAGCTGCTGACATTGTATGTTTTAATAATTAAATAATTAAATTATTTATTGCCCTCTTGGAAAAGTTTCTTCCTCTGATTCCTAATCTTTCTTTTTAAAACTTGATCAGGGATGAGGTTAGGTTTCTGTGGAACCTTGCCTCATACTGTTGATTTTTTCAAAAAAGTAGCCAAAGGATTTGAATATTGAAAAAGTTCATTGTCACGTTCTAAAACAGTGGCTCCCAAACCACCTTGAATCAGGTTTTCCTGCAGACTTCTTCAAAATCCCACATTGAGGGTCTCTATCCCTGGTTCAGTAATTATGAAGTATATTGTTAGAATTTGTTTTTTTCAAGTAATTTTAAAATTTTGTATTCTAACTGCAGTCAAACGCATGTAATACAAAGTAAACCTTATTGCCACTTTTAAGTATATATAGTTCCATAATATTAAGTAAATCCACAGGGTTATGCAACCACCACTTTGGCCATTTTTATTTTTCATTTTATGAAGCAGAAGCTGTACACCATGAGCAATAACTCTCCATGTGCCTCTCCCACAGCCCTAAACAACCACCATTGTGTCCTCTGACCTTACGCATTTTCTGTCTCAAGAACATCGGGTTCATGGACTCATACAGTTTTCACCCATTTGTGATGGGCATATTTCACTTAGCATTAGCTTCAAGGCACATCTATACTGTACCATGTGTCCGAGATTCCTCCTTAAGGCCAAAGGAATGGAAAAGATTCATTAATAAGCAATACTCAGACCTGCACAAGGCACTACATGCCTAGAACACATTGTAATGCACTCTCTGAAGGTGGGAACACAAGTGAATTAAAAGAATATACAGAGAACACTTCTTAAATTTGCAAGCCATCTTTGAGCAGGTTCCATGTTCGTGTTCACTCTATCACCCCAGTTTGAGTACACATATGCAGATGAAGCAAGCACATCCAGTGGTTTTGAAACTGCACATTGCTCAGACATCCAATCACTTTACTTCAGTACTAATGTTTAAATCATAAATAATTTAAAACATAGAAGAAAACAGAATAGGTGACATTGCAATAATTAGAAAACATATTATTTCAAACATTTTGTTTCTGTGTATGTGTGTGTTTGTGGGTCCATTCATACACAGTCAGGACATATGACAAGTACAAAAGCTACCTGTCAAAAAAAGAAAATGAAACCTGCTCAGATGATAGTAAAGGAACATAATGTTCGCACCCTGAAATATGCTGTAGCGATAGGTTTTATGATAGGTTTAAATTACTTAAAATGAGATTAAGAAAGGTCTTTTGTACTAAACTATTAATTGTGTACTCCATACTTGTGTGGGTCTGAGTATTGCTTATTAATGAATATTTGTCATAAAACACATCAGGAGTTAGATAAGAATTTGGCATTGCTCTGACACACAAAGATTTTTATAGACTCCAGAAGTAGATAAAGAATTGCTAACAGAATTAATGGAGAGGTGTGAATGCTACCAGCAATGCAGAATTCTCTTCCAGCTCAGGAAATATACCTCCAAATTTATGACTATATTTCTCCCTTTGGCATTTTTCTCAACCATATGTAGTTTTTAAATTATTGTGGTGAATTCTATCACATTATTGAAAATATACAGGATGTATTTATCTAAGACAAATATGATTTTACTTAGTATGTTTTCTGAAATAATAGCACGCAATATGCACCAGAAAATAAAGCCATTATCTAATAATATAACTGTGTATGAACTATATTTGATACTGCCAGCATTTTTGAAACATATATGTTTAACAGATGTAAGTGTTTATATTAGATCATATGGAATATAATTCTTCATCTGGCTTTTAAAGAGGTGTGGAACTCTTGCATTTCCTCAGCAGAGTTATTTTCAAAGTGCCTCAGATTTCTGTATTTGATGGCTCTATCTCAAACCTTCTGAGCTGCCTGCTGCTGATCTTGGCATTAAAAACAGAGTGGCATTCCCCCAAAGGTAAGAGTTATTTTTTTCTATTAATTAACAGAGAAGACTCCAGGATAGGTGGATACATGTATACACAGATTCATGATCAGATAGATGTTAACTTACTGAAGTGTTATCATCTAGCTGTGACCTTTAAAAAGTTACAATAAGTAGATACACAACTGGAAATTAAATATTAATGAAGCTGTGTTCAGAACAAGTTTATAAGAACGTTTTTACATTGTGTATCTTCATTGATCCTCCTAACTGTGAAAAGAAAAGCTGTAGACATTTTGCAGAAGAGAAACCAGATACTGACGTAAGCTGCCTTGCTGAGTCACAGAGCGTGAAGAGATGACAGGAATCAATTTCTTGAACAGACTCGCAATTCAGGCATCATTCCTCTAAAGCACGCAGCATAAAGCAAGAAGAATCTTCCCCTACTGTTTAGTTTGTTCATGAGGGCCTCCACATTTTCGGGTGAGACACTCTTGGCCAAATAATTAAGCTCCATTAGATAATACCCATAAACTTCTAACCAAAGAATCCAGAACAACAATAATGTTATTGTTCTCCATATTTTGCAAACAAGATTTTAGTAAAGATTCTCAGACCTAGATGGTACTCAGAATCCTCTCCAGGGCTTTTGGAAAACATTGATTTTTTTTTTTTTTTTTTTTTTTTTTTTTTTTTATTCTTAAT